AACCGCTCTTTACGTCATTAAAATACAAGCAAGCATCAAATTCACTTCTCTTAAACCCTATCTTCAGTACATAGGCATCAAACCTCTTGTACCATTGTCTTGGGCTCTGTTTCAGCCCGTACAAAGATTTCTCCAATTTGCACACATACTCAGACTTACCTCTAGCTACAAACCCTTGTGGTTGGCTCATGAAGATATCCTCTTCCAACTCTCCATGTAAAAATGCAGTTTTTACATCAAGTTGTTCAAGTTCCCAATTGAATTGAACAACACGAGCCAACATTAATCTGATTGTCTTATACTTGATCACAAGTGAAAATATTTCATTGTAGTCCACACCCTCTCTTTAGCAACTAACCCCGCCTTAAACCTCACAAGATTATTAGGGTTCAAACTCTCCTTTAACTTGTAAATCTACTTACATAGAACCAATTTCCGATCTTCAGATTTTTTTAACAAGTTTCCAGGTTTTGTTATTGCTCAAAGATTTCATTTCTTCCTGCATAGCTTTTAGCCAATTTTCAAAATATTTTCCATTAACAGCTTCTTCATAAGTGGCAGGTTCTATTTGTTCATGGGCTTCACCTGAAACTAAGGCAAAATCAGTCAAGTTTAGGGATTCATATTTGGGATTAGGTCTGATTTGCCTTCTTGCTCTATCCCTTGTAAGTTGATAGTTTTGATTAGGTGGCTGATCATCAAAATGTTCAGTTTCAACAGGTTCAATATTATCTTGAAGTTCAGTCACCTCTGCAGGTTCAGTTTCAATTTCAGGTTCATGATGTGTATGGTCATTATCATCATTTCCAGGTTTAGATGAATCAAACTTGGTCAACTTCACCTCAATCTGAACATTTCTTTCAGTTTCAGATCTGTTAGATTCATCACTTTTCTGTTTTAGGAATGGCATTTCAGATTCATTAAAGACTACATTTCTGCTGTTAATAATCTTGATGTCCTGGACCCCTAAAACCCATAACCTATATCCTTTCACACCCTCGAGATATCCTAACATCACACACTTGACAACCCTAGGCTCAAGTTTCCCTTCGGACCGATGTGCATATGCAGCACATCCAAACACCCTTATGTGATTTAGATTTGGAGGCTCCCTTGTCCACAATTCTTGTGGAGTCTTAAAGTTTATATTGCTGGATGGTGACCTATTAATCAGATAAGCTGCAGTACTTGCAGCTTCAACCCATAAACCTTTGGCAAGGCCAGAGCTAATTAACATGCACCTAACTTTGTTCATTATGGTCATGTTCATTCTCTCAGCGATCCTATTCTGTTCAGGTGTATACTTAACTTTTCCGTATCTTGTTATCCCCTTTTGCTTACAAAAGTTGTCAAATTCAAAATTACAGAACTCAAGCCCATTGTCAGTTCCTAATGTTTTAAGTCTCTTGTCTAACTGGTTCTCAACAGATTTAAGCCAAATTTTGAATTTTCGAAAAGTTTCAGACTTAGCCTTCAAAGGATAAATCCAAACTTTCCTTGAGTAATCATCCATTAAGGACAAGAAGTACTTACTTCCACCAAATGTGGAATGCTTCTCAAGGCCCCATAGATCAGCATGGACATAGTCCAATGGTCTGTTGGTTCCATGAGAACTAGCTTTAAAGCTCACCTTATGAGACTTATCCAAAACACAAGTCTCACAGAAGTCCATAGCTTCAATGTCGTCTTTTTCAAGTAATTTCTAATTACTTAAAGATTTTAGCCCTTTAAACTCAACATGACCCATTCTATTATGCCAAAGTTCAGTTTTGTCTTTACTAACTGTAAGAAGAATAGAATCAGGTGGTGTTTCAGTTCTACCCTCAAGATAGTACAGTCCATTCCTCTTAGGTCCTATCATAACTACTAGAGATCCCTTAAAAATTTTCAGAACGTTATTTCCAGATTAAAAAGTATATCCCTCATCTTCAAGAGTTCCTAAGGAAATAAGGTTCCTTTTCAAATTAGTGACATATTTTACATCTCTGAGTTTCCTGACAGCTCCATCATATATCCTGATGGCAATGTCACCAATCCCAACCACATTCTGAGAATTAGTCTCCCATGTAAACCTTCCTAGGTTTAGTCTCTCTATAGTTATAAAACCAGGACTTCTCAGGGCACATGTGAAAAGTGCACCCTGTGTCCAGAATCCAATCTCTATTAGACCCTTCCTCAGACACATTTAGGACATGTAAACTATCAAATTTAGAAACAATGACAGCATTATTTAGATCAGTATTGTTCAAGTCTTTTTGTTTCTTTTTCCAGTCAAAGCAGTCTCTCTTGAAATGTCCTAACTTTCCACAGTTATAACATTTCTTACCATTTCTATCTTTAGATTTGGATTTCATTTTAGATTTTCCCCTTCCCTTCTTGTTATAGAAGTTAAATTCTTTCTTTTTAGGTCTTCCCCTAACAAATAGACTTTCTTCTCTAGAATTAGTCTGTTGTCTCTTTTCAGTTCAAGTTCTTTTGATTTTAAAGCATCTACAACAATATCTTGTGAAAGAGTGTCCCTACCATATTTTATGGCATTTCTGATTTCTTCATAAGATTCAGGTAAAGAGATTAGCAATATGACAATTAAATCTTCATCCTCAAATTTCTTGTCATTGTGAGCCAGACTCTTAACAATTATGCTACAGTCATTCAAATTCCCTTCCACATCCTTCCTCGGGTCCATCTTAAAATTAAACAGCTTTTCTAACAAATATATTTTGTTAGGCAAAGTTTTAGTCAAGAACGAGGCATCTAAAGCAGTACACAAAGTTCTAGCATCTTTAGCACTATCAACTTGTCTAACAACATTATCAAATAAGTGCAAAATTATAGAACTATAGCAATTTCATTCATTTCTTCAATTTCAACAGGTTTAGCCTTTAACTCATCAGAAAAAGTAGCAGGATCATCGAGAGCTTTCGCAACTCTCTGTTGGACCAAAATGACCCCTCATTTTCTGTTTCCATATCGAGTAATCTCCCTTCCCATTGAATTGTGATAATTCGACCCTCAAACCCATTCCGGATTCTGTAAAAGGGTGGCCTGTACTCGTGGATGGACATAACAGAAAAGTTTTTGAATTTTTTTTTTCAGATGATCAATATAAAATAGAAACACGGAATTAAAAACAATATCCAGAAATTGAAGCACAGTAATGAGTCAATCCGATCAAGAAACCTCAGTGTGATGTGTGTGCAGGTGTGATCCAAACTCAGGCAATACACATGTATATGATACAAGTAAACATGCTTCCAGGATTACAAATCAGTCACAAGAATCCAATCACCAGAATTCATAGACAAGTAATCAATTAATCATGCATCAATCCAGATAGTCCACCAAACTGTATTCATAAGGTGAGATTGGAAAGATCTTACCAGTTACGGTTGAAAAACAGTAAATATACCCTCAACCCCGAGGTCGAACAAGCCAGCCAAAGTCACAAATCACCCAATCCAGTTAGCCCATACACAACAACAACAACAAAAAACACAGAGGAGGTAGAATCGAATTTTAAAACAAGATGCCTAAAGTGATACTGTCTGTTTAGATCTTTAAAGGTCTATACAGATATATCACTCTAGAGGAAAGGACCCAAAAGCAGATTAACAGGAAGAATACGACCAAAACCCTAGGCCGTCCAAGCTCTGATACCAGTTTTGTTGGGAAATTTTAGAGTTCGAATTTCAAAACCACAATGTAATCAAACATTTACAAAACATAAAGAAACCATAGAAACTGAAAGCAGTAAATAAACCCTTTTCTTGTTCCCTTAACCAGCTGAAAAATAGGCTCAAGAACAACCCTTCCATGCCTTGCAAATCGCCATCCAGAGAGAGATAAACAACCGGCCAGAACCTCTCAACATTTGACTTGGGTCATCGATCCAAAGATCTACAAAAGCAATCAAGATCAAAGCCCTAACACTGACCCAACCCTTGCGAGAAACCAACACCATTCAGCTACTATTTCAAGCCTGAATATTACATAAGGTTCTCTCAACAACAGGCTAAAGAAGACAGTGAACACCGGATGAAGAAGAAGAGACGGACCAACAGCGAGAGAGAGAAGAGAAGTTTCAAGGAAGGAACCGACTGGAACTCAAAAGTCGAAGCCCAAGAGAAAATATCTCACAAGAATAAATCACAGCCGTCGATCTCATCCAAGGGCCACAATTAATTCTAAACTAGCACAATCCAAGTGACCACTTAGCTACCAATAAGTGGATGCCACTTAAGCAGCATAAGTAAAGAATAAATAACAATGTAAATGTCACAAATAACACTAGTCCAATAGTGTTAGAGAACTACTAAAGCCCACACTACTTACTTATTTTTGTTTCTCCAAGTGCTTATAAGTTTTTCAGTTGCAATATGTTCTTTTTTATCTTTAAAAATCAGAAATATATACATGAAGTAACATCTTAAATAAGCTTGTTTAATTTTTAATTAGTTTTCTCTTGCGAACAATATCCCAAAATTTCCAAATTCTTGTCTCCTTTACATTATATGAAGGTCCTGAATTAATATATTATTTTTCAGGTGGTTACAATGGTGACAAAAATGGATATGCGATTCCACCTGGCACTGATATATTCATTTCTGTGAGTCTTTACTTTTTCTCTTTGTTAATTTATGAGAAATAATGTAAATTGAACTTGCATAATGCACTCGCTTTCTTTGAAATTTTGTGATGAAACTAATATATTTGGGGTACTTGAAATAAATAGTTTTAAAAAAAACAGGAAAGCAGAGTTAACACCATTCTGAACTAATAAAAATTGATTGATGTTTACGGCAAACACTTATGGTTCCACTTAATAAGCTGTTCTGAATAAACTAAACAGGTGTATAATCTCCATAGATCTCCATATTTTTGGGACAAACCTAATGAATTTGAGCCTGAGAGGTTTCTAGTACAAAAGGAGAGTCAAGGCATTGAAGGGTGGGCCGGTTTTGATCCATCCCGTAGCCCGGGAGCATTGTACCCAAATGAGGTTATCGATCTGTTACTTAATTCATATTCTCATGTTCCATCCAACTTTCATAACGTTTTACCAGTGTCATTGTCTTGATCAGGTTATATCAGATTTTGCCTTCTTGCCTTTTGGTGGGGGACCAAGGAAATGTGTAGGTGACCAATTTGCCCTCATGGAGTCGACTATAGCACTTGCAATGTTACTAAAAAAGTTTGACGTTGAGCTTAAGGGATCTCCAGATTCCGTAGAACTTGTTACTGGAGCAACCATTCACACAAAGAATGGATTATGGTGCCGATTAAAGAAGAGGCCAAATGTTCATTGAACGTTCTGAGAAGAAAAATGCTAAAGATGTAATTGTAGTTTTTGCATAAGTTGTGTTGTTCATTACTTGAAGAACACTGCATAGCAAACAATGTAAAAGCTTGCACAGAATAGTACTTCAACTGTATTTACTATTTTTAAACTTGTGAAAAAGAAATGAAAATAAAAATCACATTCTTTTGTTTGGTTGAGTATAATGTGTTGTTAATTACTTGAATAGCTTTTATGAGAAGTGATCGTTGTGTTTTGGTAGATAATTTGAAGTAGTTCGTCCAAAGAATGAGTAAACATAATGCCTCGAAAAGAAACCATTGTTGTTGCAATCTATAAATTGACGCTAGTAGATATGATCAAACAATGCGTGTACGAATAGCCTGATATTGTGGTATGATCTTCCAGCAGTCCAAGTTTTTTTATTTTATAAATGTAACACAATATCTGAAATGAGTAAGCTACACAGATGTTCCATATCCTTGTGTCGAGATAAAAGATGGTCACTTAGTAATCGGAAATCCACTGGCAATGAATCTTGAGTTCTGTGATTGTGATTCAAGACGATAGAGAGCTTCAATTGGAATTGTACATCTCGTGTTTTGATTGGAGGTGCGAGAAGAGAGGGCATCTTGGGATTGATAGGTGTGGAAGAAGGGAGTGTTCGCTAAATTCGTATGCC